AATAGCTTGTGTTTTCTCTTGACTCTTCTTTTTGAGTTCACTATTATGTTGTATAAAATAATAACAAATAAAAACTTTACTTGCTTCCCAAACCATTCTTAAATCAGTACCTTTATCTAAATTATATTTAAAAAATCTTTTAATTTATTTTTACAGTCCTCCTCTATTGCTTCTTTCTGTAGCAACATTTCATTTAGTCTCCGCCTAAAAGAACTGGATTTCCTTTTATAAAACAAACTCACAGAATCATGATCTGAAAAAGTCTTCAGTAGTATCTCTGCTTTAGAAATCTTAGTAGCCAGATTCTTTGAAATCCAAATCATGTCTATTGTTGAAAAGAATCTATGTCTTTCAGAACAGTAGGAGGCAGTTTGGTCTAGTGGTTAAGACACCAGGCTACAGACTGAGTTCTAGTTCTGTCTTAGCCATGAAAGCCAGCCAGGTCACTTTGGGCCAGTCACTCTCAGGGTTGTTGTTGTGGGCAAAATATGAGGAGGAAGGAGTATTAGGTATGTTCACTGCCTTGAGTTATTTATAAAAATAATAAAGACAGATAAAAAATCTTTTAAAAAATTGCCATTTTTCTGCCTCAATATATCAACCAGCCCTAAATTGTCTATCAAAGAAAATCAAAGAAAATTTTTGGTAATTTGCCGTGATTTTAATATTTTTCTCAGAAGTTCTATCCAGTTGTGAGGAGATCATTCCATTTCAATCCCCAATCAAACACCAATTTTCATAAGAGAAACCATTAATCTCTCTATAAGTCCTTTATAGAACAGTACATTTATATTTGGGGCATAAATTCCCAATATCAAATTCTTAGTCCTGTGCAAATTAATTTCCAGCCCAACAAATCTACTGTGCTCATCAGTCAATACAAGTTCTGGTTTTAGTTGGGGATTTATATGCAAAACAACTCCATTTCTTTTTTAGTTCCTGCTGAAATAAATTCTTCACCCAAATTTTTATAAATCAAATATTTTATGTCTTTTTTCCTAATATGTGTCTCTTGTAGGCAAATTACATTTTGTTTTGATTTTTTCAACTAATAATTTTTTTTCTCTCTTTTGAGGAGCATTTGCTCCATTTATATTCCATGTTAAGCATTTGTAATCCATAATCAAGCCAAAAACTTAGAAAAATCGATACCTGTAGCACCTAGTTCAGTATCATCCCTTTCAGTTTCCTGTTGCACCTGTTGAAGTTTTATTCCATGTTAAGCATTTGTAATCCATAATCAAGCCAAAAACTTAGAAAAATCGATACCTGTAGCACCTAGTTCAGTATCATCCCTTTCAGTTTCCTGTTGCACCTGTTGAAGTTTTTGCGTAATCTCATCTGATACCTCCATTTGAATTGCCAATTCTTCTTTAAATTTTTCTAGAAATTCCCTTGCCTTCTGGAGAGAATTCAGTTGAAACCTCTGCTGTTTAAAAGTAAAAATTACACCTTCCAATTTGTCCCATTAAAATGGAATATTTTTCTGTTTTAATCTGTCAGTCAAAAAAGAATATTCTTTTCTCTGTGTTGCAGGTGGACTAAGTCCTGAAGGTTTTTCTATTTTTTTTTTTTTTTACATATGTATGTGAAAGGATGTTGTGAACATTTTTGGGAAATCTGTGATTCAGTGAAAGCTTGAAAAAGGAGGTAATTAAAATTAGCAATAAGTGAAGGCTAATACTAACTGAGGCTTGCCTCAGTTCTTGCTCACTTTCAAGTATTCAGTCACCTCCACCCCACCGCATGCACACACATCAATACTCAGTGCATTGCAAGGGATCAACATGTGAAAGTTATAAGTGATCTTTCTCACTTTTCACTCTCACGTGATCCATCAACCTAACCCATTTATTTCTAGCCCATCACTATAGGTATGTAAAACATTTTGAGTTGTTTCAAATTCAGATCTGATGCTGTTCCAATGATTCCAGAAGAGTTTTGAGCTCAAAACAGCTCTGTTTTGAATTCAAAACAAGTGTCCTGGTAAAGGATGTTCCTAAAGCTCCTTCCATTTGTGATGCAGAAAAGGAATTAAAAGAGAATTTGCAGGCCACTGCTGCTTAGTATACTGTATTTTTCCGACTATAAGACGATACT